TAATCTAAACCTATTGCTTTTTTGTCGTTCTCGCTACCGTCGCCATTGTCGTTGCTTAAAAGCTCCATATTGGTTGAATCTGGGACGAAAAAAGCGTCACTTTCCCCTCCCAGAAAACTTCACAGTGTAACTATCACAAACAGCTATAAAACATACTTGCTGAATAGATGGACATCCGATTATTTGCTGATCTTCAACTGAGTATGTTTCCATCACCATATCATTCATCTGTTTGTAATAATCTTGAACTTTGGCCTGTAAAACAGAAATCCAGTTGTCAAGTATGTTCGTTTCTCTTAGAAAGTGTCGGGCTTATCTGTTTAACGTAGTCATTCCAGTGTCCTTATGATTCCAGTGGTGCATAGCCAACTCTCTATTTAATAATACGGGCAAAGTTTGCACCGGCACTGAGTGTCTTTATAAGAGAGGTACCGTAAAATTTCGAAAATAAGCCCCTCCATGTATAAGCCCCTTCAAATATTAGCCCCCCCAAACTCGTAACGCAAAAAACCCTCCGTTAAATCGCCCCTCCAAATATAAGCCCCACGGGGGCTTGTACTTGGAAATTGCTTTCAAATACAAAGTAAAACAAAGAAAAACGGTAAATTTCCTACGAAGAATAAGGCTAGCCCAGTCGATTTTTAAACTCAAATTTCCCTCCTTACATAAGCCCCTCCGTATATAAGCCCCTCCAAAAATAAGCCCCTCAAAAAGGGCTTTTGAAAAATATAAGCCCCGGGGCTTATTTTCGGAATTTTACGGTACCCGCCTTATACAGAGTCCGCAAAGAAAGTACTGAAGTGAGGCAGGGGCTAACTCTAAGGATACAATGTACTCAAGTGTTAGACAGCAACTTACGAAATCTTTGGACCTCCAGATCTCTTCATTAAGTGGGTTATTTTACGAAAGACAAAGGCTTTCATACTCTACTTTACACGCTTTAATGAAGTTGTTCACGATAAATGGTGTTTACATAAACGCGTTCGACAAATTGAAAATGACTTAGAACGAGGTTTTATTAAACGGTGCCTAAACTCCGTTTAAATAACTGTCCCTAACTGCCTGATTTACCCAGGAGGGTGTAGTTAAATAGAGTAATCTGTATACCGAAACAATCGATACTGTTTTCGCGCTCTTTATTCCTCGAGCCCGAATGGGCTCTGAGTCAAAAAAAAAACTTTAGCTAGCAAAACGCGATTCAGCCGCCACTGTTTTGGTTTTCAAAGCCGGCGATTTTCGCTACTAGTGGGCTATAACATATAGCCTAGTAGTAGCTCAACCAATCAGAACGCAGCATTAATAATAGACTACTAGTTGGATTTTACTTATATTGTTACTTGTCACCTATCCTACGTTGACCCGGCATCTTTCAATAAAGCGCCTCGAGTAAGCTACCCTGTTTATCGCCACTGAATGCCAACAGAGTTAAAAATAGACAGGTCTTCGGATTTTCTTCGGACATATTCAGTTATTCAAGAAACGACCAAAATTGGACGAGGGTAAATGTGGAGTTCTCGTGGCTTTGGAAGGATATTCTTCGGCAGTATTCGGACGTCTTCGGGAAGGATCGTAAGAGGATAACTTAGTTACCTTGACAGGTTTAAACAGTATGTACTCTGTATCCTTATTGGCTAAAAACAGCGCCATACTCTGTAAAGTACTAGTGAGTTTGGACTTCAGCAACATGTACGTCTCACTCACAACTTTACGAACATTCTCTGAAACGAAGAAAAAAGGATCAAAATAAACAAAAGTTTAAGGTCCACATTCCCTCACCCCGTAAGCGGGGTGAGGCAACGTTTTCTTTTACCTGGTTTTGCAAATGGCTGTTGTTTTAAGAACGCTTTGGGATCTTTTCCTTCCTCCACTGCAAGATTTTTTATCACCGCTACCTGTTATATTGAGAGAAAAGGAAATATACAGTGGCAATTCAACTGAGCGTTTGAACTTGCCGACTATAAATAAAACAGGGCCCTCTGACAGCCAATAACTAGGAGCCCTGATAACTAAATACCAGATTAGCTGCTTTACGCTCCTTTTTTGGAAACTGAAATTAACAAGGAGGTCTTTGACTCATGGGGCAGGGGTGGGGGAGTAAAAGTAAGCACTTTGAACCATCACCCCTCCCACCACCAAGAGTAAAGATGAGGCGTGCAGGTTTTACTAGTTGAATGATCACCTTTCTGTCCTCGAAAAAGGTGAACAGAGAAGGAAAACAGAGGAAAACATCTATTTCATTAGAGCAGTTTTCACCTGAGTGAACTCGTTCCCCCGCTCAGAACTGGTTAGATAAACCACTGTCACTTTCGATTGATTAAATAGCTTACTACTTCTGTTGCAGTTGGTCAGGTTTTAAAACAGCTAAGTTTTGATTAAATAACACTCCTGACAAACCGCTCCTGACAAATTCACCAGCAAACACGTATCAAAATTCACGTTAATTTACCTTAGCCAGGAAAGCGGAGAGAGGAGCAATGAGTGATTCTGACACATTTTGTATAAACTGCTCACACACAACACGAAGTTCAACATCCACTTCCTTAAAATGAAAAAATGCAAGTGAATAGTAAGATTTGTTTTAATAAAAATAATATCTGGATTCTTAACGATGCGGGTATTTTGCTTCTTAAAACCATTAATGCGAGTGCAAAGTTGATGTTTTTCTAATACGAAATTTTAACGCACGATGATTTGAACTTGGGACTACAGAGAATAAAACCAGCTAGCAGTCAGGAAGGGACTTGAACTCTTAAGCCTCCAAACTGCAGGTCCAGCGCCCTAACTGCTGAGCCATGTTGCCTTCACAAATTCATTGTATTCGCCACTTGCACATCTCCCATAATGCACCTTATTTGACCTTTAAAATTTTGCATAACCCTTGTTTTTCATTTCTCCTGGGCATTACAGCCGTCCCAAGAAAAATTGAAAACAATGCTTATGCAAAATTTTGGGGGGCAAATAAGGTGCATTATGGGAGATGTGCAAGTGGCAAATGCTCAACATACAGAGCATACAATGAAGTCATGCTAATAACACCAGTAATCTATGGTTTATAACCTTTTTTGAGTCCAAGTAATTTTCTGTTAACTGTGGTGCTCCCTGAAATCAAAATACCGTGAGTTAGACCAGTTTAAGAAATGGGACCATCTCCACGCACTATATTTAAAGAATGCTTCCTTCTGACCACGGTTGTTGAAACGTTGGACAGTGCTACCAACTGGATAAATCACGATCCATTTGATAAGCACTCAAAAACCCAACTGCTTTATCCACTGGATAAATAGCATCTTCCGCCTTTCCAATGACAGACTTCGATCCAAACATGAAAATTTTATGTCATTGACAATATTGATAATGAACATACGGTGGCTTCAATTAATTTTGCTCTTTTAACCTGAATCAACAAACCACACTGTCACAATATTCTCTTGGAAGACACTTAATTGAGTCTGCTTACACTACAGTGTACTTACATCTAATAAGAATTCCAAAATAGCATTACTGCTACTAAGAGCAAACAATCTGTTGCTATGGCTCCACAGTCCATATGCTGCGGTCCTCATCTTGCTAAAATCAAGCGACATTTCCTTCACAGCAAAATCAACATCAAAAGGTGCAATTTGCTCTCTGAGGATCAGTAGATGTTTGATAAGAAAGAGGTGGCCATTAATAGCATCCTAGAATTGAATGAAGACAATGTTAAGACTTTGACTGGCTATGCAAGGGTTGGCCCTTCAATATTCTGGAGTATCAGATGAGATACTCAATAACTGAAAAAGCAGTAGACTCAAGGAACCGTTTAAAAAGGTCCCACAAAACTTCTTCCAAAAAAACATTTAGCACCCTTAAAGCGCCAATAGTGACCAGCATCAAATTTCTCCTATTAAACAATATCGCTGCCACTTGATCAAATGTACAGGTCAAGAGAATGAATGGAATGATCAGCACTGATGAAATGACAAAATATTTGACTAAATTCTCTCAAGCACTACAATAAGAAACACGTGGAGAACAGAAAGGAGAATATATATTTTGATATTGGGAGTTAATTAGACTGGTGCCATCATAGCATATCAGACATATTATGCGTAGCCTTCGAGCAAGCTCTTGACCAGGGGTGGGTATGGGAGTAAAAACAAAGCAACACTTGATTCATTCCCTGAACCCTACCTACTGAGTTGAGAGTAAGCTCAATCTCTTCCTTCTTTCCCCTCCCCCTCCCCCGTCAATCCTTTTTTTTTTTTGCTCTCGTCCCGACGTTCTCGACGAACTCGCGCGGAAACGCTTGCTACGCAGGCTAATAGTTACATGAAATTATTAACCCTTTAAACCCAGGGTTGTCACTAAGATTTTAAGTTGCCGGGTAAATACAACAAGTAGGCGGGGAATCAAACGGCTAGGGATTTCTTTTGGTTCTATTTTTGTTCTATTTTCCAATAAAAGTAGCCTGGGGCCACTTTCTTAATAGTTGGGGAAAATCTCTGGCCCCCGGCTCTTATTGACAACCCTGCTTTAAACCCCAATATGAATATCCATGTGCAAATTCTCCAAACTGATCTCTGTACATTTCCGTCAAGAATTGATAATGGTAATTGAACTGAGTGGAGTGCAATTTGGTCTGAAATCATACGCGTGATTTCAAAATCGAACGAGCGCGCAGCGCGAGTTCGATTTGAAATCACAAGTATGATTTCAGACCAAAATTGCAGGACACGAAGTTCAATTACCACTTTATTACATCCATTTTGAAATCGCAAAATTTAGTCAGTACTAATATATTTTATTGATCAAGTAGCTGGTTTGTTAAAAAGCCGAAACAAAAAGGCTTTTACATCTCATTTTGTCTTCGAAACAGAAATGATGCGATATAGAACAAAAATGGTGCGATTTAAAACAGAAATGATGCGATTTAGAACATGAATGACGCGATTTGGAACACATGCGATTTAGAGCAAAAAATGGTGCGATTTAGGAATAAATCACACTGCTGAGAGCCAATCAGATTGCACGGATAGCCAGTGATTTCAAAGTGGATGTAATAAGATGAATAAATTTGCTTAAAGATCAAAGCATTTTCCCTTTTGGTGATCATTTTATTAAATCTCATAAACTTTCTCTAGATGAAGTAATGAGGTCGTTAGGAGAAAATTGATGTTGGTCACACTTGGGACTGCTCATTACCTTTCTTTGGGTGATAAGTGCACTGGCTGTTTTGAGAGACTGAATGCAAAATGATAGAGCTTCTTGAGACAATCCTTCAAATGTCTCTTTCTGTATAAAGGCAAAAAGGTTTTGAAGTGAACAATAAGCATACAATGTAAACACATTTAAGATAGACGGGTTGTCCCCTCATGGAAGATGTGTGAAAACAATGAAGGCCAGAGGATCGTGAACAAAGAACTGAAGGAGAGTAAGCTTAATTGCAAAAAAGTCATAACACAAATTTTTAAAAACATGGCACTCTTACCGAGATACAACGGTAAAGTTTGGAGAGACAAACCAGAGTACGTCGGACAGTTGGATACCACATTCCTTGCAGATCAACTAGAGCAGCTGGCAATTCTGTGGCAAAGAGACAACACATGTTTGTTTGTTTTCGTTTTTTTCCTTGTCAAAAATGGTTGCAATAGAGAAATTTTGACAGACCCTGTTACACTAAGACATCTTCATTGCAGGCTGGGGTGTTTCACAATCAAGTAACTTGTCTAACAACAGCAAAACAAAAGTTTGTCAAAAATTGAAACCCTTTACTTACCTTTGGATTTCTTCTCTTCTCCTTCAGCTGATTTTTCCTCGTTGTCAGCGTCACTTGAGGACTACAAAACAGTAAACACATATTAATGTCTTGATTCCGTGTGAAATGGCCATTTGACCAAATTAGAGATTAATAAAACTTGTATTTCAGTTAAACCAGAGTTATGGCTAAACAAAATAATGATAAAATATTGTTTTTTTGACAGACAAATTAATGTATTGCAAACCTCTTTTCTCCAACAAATAAAATTATTTCATGACTAAAAGGAGCAGATACAATATAAACCAAAAGAAAATATAATAAAAAGGACAATTAAAGAAAAGTTTTTATGCACATTGTCCTCTGTACCGGTAATATATTATTGTAAGTATTGTCTTGCTATTTGAATTAACTTTATTTTGCGAAACATTGAGATCCTTGGAAAAAAAGACATTGCTGTAATAGGCACAAAGAGTCTGTTCTGAGAGAGATTTCGGCTTGACAGCGAGTCCAAGAAAATGACTGAAGAACATCAGGGCCTAATGCTAGGTGACTGTTTGAAGAGTTGTTGGCTGCGCTGTTTAACAGATTGAATGTACTAACTGGTGCTGCAAAAAGTCTGACATTTCCTAAACATCTTACCCCTATGATCAGTTTTTCTGGGTATGCCAGATCTCCCGGAGCTGGTGAATATTTCTGGATATCACTCTCGATGTATGCCTGTAAAGATCAACAAACCTTGGGATGACAATGGTCTGCAAACACTTTTCATCTATTCCCAAGTTGAGCTTGCTACGAGCAGAGGGATTTGATAAAAATATCTTTTGTCATCTCGTGATCTCAATGCATGTATATGTCATCCCACGTCGTACCATGTCACACCATGTATCACACCATGTCAAGTCATGTCATGCCATGTTACACCATGTGTCATGTCATGTCATCTATGTTATATTGTTGATCTTCTACTGTTGATGTGCAAACTTTCATGGCTCTTACAAGAATTACCTGTGCTCTATAAACCAGTCTTTCTTGAACATCTTCTAACATCTGAAGAATTACAACTTCAAAAGCAGCCAATTCTTCACCTGAAGTGGAATGACACTCACAGTCAAGTGATTTTTTGTGCAATTAGATGCTTAGTGAAGATAAGTTTTAAATGCTTGAAGGGATTAATGGGAATATTTTCAAACAATGAAACTTTTTTCCTATAAAATATTAGTGATAAGTGTTCAGTCCAGAATCTATTCCTTCATTTTCATGTGTGGAACTGTAATGTTTTTATGTTGTCTCAGGAGAGTTAGGCTTCATACCTTTTTGCTGTACATGATCTTCAATCATCTCAACCTGCAAAGAAAGAGAAATGAAACTTAACTCAATTTATTTACTGAAACTTGACAAAAGAGTAATAATAAATTCATCTTCTCCTCTGGGTCAGCTTAGTAAAGTGCCAGTTACAGTTAAACCTTTAAGCCCTAAGAGTGATCAGCATCAACTTTCTCGTTGTAATATCACTGCTTTATAAAACACAGTGATCATGAGAATTATGGACACGATCAAACAAGATAAATTTGCTTGATATTTTATCAACTTCTCCCCACTTCTTCTGTGGGAAATGAATAGAGGCAACAAATGAGAATTCAGATTTTGATCTTAGGGTTTAAAGGGTTAAAATGTTCAGCCAGGCCCAAGTTGTTCAAAAGGTGGATAACCCTATCCACTGAAAAATCTTGATTCAGTGGATAGTGAAACTGGTTTCCCTAAATAAATACTAATCCACTGCATGGACAGTGATTTATCTGATGGAAAGCATTATCCAACCAGGGCCTCATCAAAACTTATGGTGAATTCTTCAGGAGGAAGAAATGGCCTCCTTTGTAACTCACCTTCAATATTGAACAAAGTTCAGTCAGGGTTTCCATGTGATTCATATGAATAATAACAGGTCGCAGTGAGTCGTACAGGACACTACAGAGGATTTCCAATAAGGAGCTTAAAGGAAACAGAAAAACATTCATCAGTGATGCATCACTAGTCATGCAATAATTTTGATATCCCATGAGTGACTCGATTTACACATACACACAAGCCTAAGTGAGCATGTGCACAGGGCACCTACAACAAGTTCAATGTACTTACTCTAGACCTGTGCTTGGTTTTGAGAAGAAATGGTAATACAGCTGATATTCATCTCGACAAACATGGATCAACACTGAGCAACCAGCACGAACCTAAAGGCAATAGAAACAATACATCTACAGTCAAATCTCGCTTCATGGACACTCCCTTGATATGGACTCTTTGGTATCACAGACAGTTTGCTTTGTCCCTGGTGAAAGAAAGGCCTAATATTTTCTCTGAAATCAATCCACTTAATGCAGACACTTTATAGGGCCCCCCTCAGTGTCCCTGTTAACACAGTTTGACCGTACTTAACTTAACTGAATCATGTAAAAGACTGCAGTCAATAAAGAACATGCCCACAAAAATTGTCAATTTGCAGATAGACTAGCTTTTAAAAGCATGATGGTTGGGATATTTTGGGCTTGATGTGCATGTTACATTAACATGAGAATACTTTCGCTTCAGCTAATAATGGACACATGAAATGTTTTTCGAGCTTCTAAGTTTGTGGACAAAATTCTGCGGTCCACAGAAAAAAACCTCTGTGGCAGTTTTTTTCATTAGTACTATTTACTTCTGACGAAATTACAAAATGAAATATACTGGGGACACCATTTTTATGTCTCCTACTGGAGACAGGACCACCATTTTAAGTGGTCATCCAAGCCATGCAAAGGTTCAGCCATTTGCAGGGTGAAGGTAGTACCTTCATTTCTCAGTTATGTTGAGACCCTGAGTATTGGTCCGGCCCTGGGAATCAAACCCGCGACCTCCCGCACTGCAGTCAAGTGCTCTAGCAACTGAGCTAATCTTGCCATGTTTAGGAAAGGATTAAAGAAACTTACTAAAGAACAAGGGTTCCTTTCATACTGCTTTGCCAGTTTGTCAATTGCATCACTAACACAAGGCATCAACAGCTGTGAGCGCTGAGACAGATAACAATGCTGGCAGTCACTAAGTAGGGAACTATATCTGGAAAAATCAAAGATACATAATTTCAGTGAGTACATGTTAAGACTGATAAATTAAAGAATCATAAATAGAAAAAACGTATTTTTTTATTTTAAAGCATGGAATAGCTGGAAATAAAAGGAGGCAGAGTGTACAGTGCATGCCACAAAGGGTACTAAACGATGAAATCTGCTTTAATACACATCTTTGAAAAAACCACCATGAGAAAAAAATCAAAAATAATACACAAACAAAATTGAGGGTGAAGGTTGACCGTGAAGATGGGGGAGGGTTCTGTTTTCTTTCTTTCTTTTAAGGAAAGCACCATTTTAGCAGGGTGGGGGTAGAATTAGATTTCTGCTATATTTTCCACTTGAATGATTACTCACTCAGAGCTCAAATGACTTCTTTGCTCAATTTGCTCCATTAGACTCTAAACAAAGATCAAAAGTCAAGATCACAATTGCAAGACATATTGTACTAACAATGGATATAACAAAAACAAGATCCTGTTTTGTTCCTTCCAAACAAAATAACATAATAAAATGGGCAGTAGCTAGTACTCTTCTTAAAACACCATTCTTTTCATGATAATGCGTTACATTTCTACCGGTATTTTACAAATAATTACAATGATGCAAAAATAATGGTTAAAAAATTCTTTTAAAATAATTTTTACAAAGTACATTTTTATATGGAATGAAGATGATGTGAACTGCAGAAATACAAGTCGAAATGAAAAAAAATTATGATCGTCGCAGTGGTAAATGAAATTTAAGCAAATGCAAATTAACCCCAAAAATTTAATGCAGGATAATTTATTCATATTAAGAGTACCTTTACTCGGGGAGCACATGTCCTAAATTTTCCATAAAATAATGCAAAGGAGTTCTCTGATGTGTTTGTACCATCCTGCTAATAAAGTTAAATCAGTGATTTGTCAGACGAGTTAGCAATATAAAGGAATGTTAAAATTTCAAGTACATGTAGGTGAAGAAGCTGTACCGAATGATGATAAAAAAGGTTCAAAACATTTTAAAACACCACTGTAGCGTAGCTTCAATACAAAAAACCTGCCTGAAATCATCATCTCAACACTTTGCACAATTCACCACATTCTTTGCATAAACTGTTCAGTTCTGCCAAATCTTCAGTATGTCAACACAACAATCCGCCTCACGCTGTTAGCACTTAGAATATCTACACAAGTCTACAACAATAGGAACTGTAAAAAAGGTGGCTAGCTTACCTTGTTTGCTAAGACTTGAGCAGTAGCATTTTTCAGTAAGCTCACTACATGTGATTTCACTTGGTTGAGAGCCTGGTTCAAGCATTGTTTGAACCGGACAAGATATACGGAACTCTCCTTGTATTGTTGCTGAAACAGTAAGAAAACAGTGATATATTAAATTTAACTTAATAAACTTGTATAAACATAAGAGAACAATGCAATTATTCAAGCTCTTTATATTCTTAAACAATTCTAATAAAAATGTAGCCTGCATTGCTGGCTGTTTTGTTGCACACACGCAAAAAAAGTTTAGTGAGCAACCCTCCAAGTTTCGACCATTTTGGTTGCAATGGCACCTAAAATTTTGGAGCTGGCCACTTGTTTTGTAAAAAGGTCTCCCTAAACCAAAAGAGTTGGTTGCCAAATGGCAACCCAGTAAAAACTTTAACTTGGAGGGTTGGTGAGCACCAAGCCCACAGTAGCAAGTGCAAAGCCCCAATTTCCTTCAGCTTTACTGATCACTTAGTTTGCTTGTGTGTTTGACAAACAAAACCACCAGCTACCCAGGCTGATGAAAAAGGTAATGTTATACTTACATTGCTTGATATGAATGAAATGCACTCATCAAGTCTTGCTAACATGGGAACAAAAGACTCACTTGTAACTGAGAAGGTAGGAGAGTTGAGTTTCTAATTCAGAAATAAAACAAGAAAGTCTTTATTAGCTTCCTATTTACAAAAACAAAACCAAAAAATACAAGCAAACAAACTTCACCACCCTAAACTGTTGATAACAGAAATAAATTTCTTGGACTGGCATACTTACATGTCTAAGATGATCCAAAGCATTAAAGTAAGACAACTTATTACTGATGCTTTCGGCCATGTTCATCAACTTTGTCTGAAATTAAACATGGCATACATATTGTAAATACTGACCTGATGAAGGTTGGCATAGCAGGTTGTCCAACCTTCCTGATCTTGTCAGGATTCTCCTGATTTTGCTTGAAAATCTGAATCCTGACCAATATCCTATTGTGAAGTCTCTGATATTTTCAAATGAATTTTTACTAACTTATACAAGAACACCTAATAGAGTATACTGACTTACTTATATCCAGAAAACTTAAAAAAGCCGCATGAAATATAAAATAAGATCGAGTACTTGTATGTGAAGCCATGTAAACATAAATAAGCATGAAAATGAAATCAATAGTGAACATTTTAGACAGGAATTGTCCCCTTAGAACACTAGACATGGTATTTCAGAGCATCAAGAGTTCAAAATTTGTAGGGGAGCATGCCCCCACACCCTCCTAGCAGCTTATGCCTTCAGCACCTCGCGAGATTCATTAGTGATTGAAAAATATCCCAATTTTTCATACTCAAAAGGTTGGAAAGTCTTCTGGCTTAGTAAGGTTATTAGTTAACTTAAGAGAATTTCTTAAGCAACATCAAAACCAACCACTTATTTATCAGTGAAATTTTTATTGGTGCTCAACCTGATCCTGGAGAAGTTGTTCACAGGCTTCGTAGCTCCTGTTTTTGTAGACACCAGCAAGTGTTTCTGCTGTAAATCCTGCAGATGACGCAGGGCAGATTCCACTTCATTGAGAATACTGTCACAGTGTGAGCGATATGAACTCAGCTGCGCAGCATAAGCTCTGACGAAATGAACCAAAATAATAATTTTACAAACTGGTAACTACGCTTTCAAAGATTATGGACAAAAGGAATGATTGAATTTAACTGAGTGATAAAAATCAGCGTGCAAAGAAAGTACTATCCAATAGCCCGGGGGTAGTGGATTTTGCTATCGGGCTAGTGAATTCTGTTTTTAACTTGCCCAACGGGCAAGTGATGTGTTTTGAGGAATTCGAATAGCAAGAACTGTGAAATCAATTCTGCTCCTCAAAAAGCTTTTGGGGCTAGTTGAAATGATGTCTGGGCTAGTAAATGTTAGATTCAGCTTGCCCGAATGGCAAGCTGTAAAAATGATTTTCTTTGCACCCTGAAAATTAATAACTTGACATCTGCTGCACAGTTGAGACTTACCTTTGGTCAATTTGGAACATTTTTCAAAAAAAAGACTACTTTTTCAGACATTCAGTTGCTTCTGGAAACTTTTCCACTGGAGCAACCCAAAAAATTATGTTTGGTTTCCAAGTGGACTTCCCAGAACCCCTTTGTAAATAGAAAACCACCAGGATGTCTATTGATACCCAAAGTACTATTAAATTTGTTCCACGTGACTTGTTTTATTTAGAAACCAATTTTTGTACATTACCTATATGACAATTCTTGCTCCTCTTCCATCTGAGCTTCCACATTTGCAAACCAAGTAAAAAACTAAGTATATGGACAAAACACCATTATATCTGTTATGTCAACACTAAACATACAAATTACTAGTTGTTACTTACGTCAACACTTAACACCCAAAGATATAAATATAAATCAAATTATATGGGTGTGTTCACACACTGTTACATACTGTATGTGTGGGGTGAAGTAGGCCACCTTTTCTTTCTGGCCTTCTTGGCGGAGTACAGTCATTACTTTTTTAATCATGATGCAGTAATACATTTTTGAAACGACATCTGGGAAAAATTGTGAACAATATACCACAACATAAAAGATCATTAATGCCAGCAACTTTTGTGCTGTTGTCCTCTCTAAACAGACAGCCTCTGGCAGGCTCAAGTCCACAGTTTTATAAAGTCTGGACAAGAAAGAAAATACATGATCTCTTACTGGATTTGATTGCAGCCTTTTCTGAAATCTGAGAAATCATAGCTACCTGCTGGGCATTCTCTATTTTTTCTGATCCCAAATCCACTCGAGACATATCCATAGCAGTCTCTTTACTGGAATCACTTAGGATCCTCTTTGGAGGCAGATTAATACAGTCATCATCAGGTAGCTAGAGACAATTAGAGACATCATTTCAGTGCTTTTGTCTTTAATTTCGAGAACAGCTGTTGAGCAACATGTTTTGGTTCTAGGTTTACCTCGTCTAAAAGAGGGCGATCTCCTGCCACAGTGGTCAGTTCAAGTACACTGTTTCTCTGTTTATCTGTTAAAGGCGCTAGAGGAGAATCCTTCACGTCCCACAAGCTCAATTTTTCTCTAACTTCAGCGGTGTAGGAAGACGAAAGTCCTACAGAGACCGCCATGTTGGCACTTTGGATGAAAATGCATTGTGGGTTTTATTTTGATTATTTGTGACCAGCGGTATCCCGAAGGAAAACAAAATGGCGGCTGAGCTATCGACTTTGGTGGCTTCATTTCTGGACACAAATCCCCAGATTTATGCTCCATTATTCCTTGAATGTGTTAACTCAAAGCGGCATCTTAACAATGAGGTGGGTATTTAAGCTAGCACTGAACTGTGCCTTTTCTTCCTCCGAGATTTTTAGAAACTTTTAACGCAACTACTTGTACGTTTTGTCCCACGTGCCGCTCTGCGCATTTCAACTTATCGTTTGATAAAATTGCATTACACGTGGTTTGCTTTGTTTATTTTAGAAAATTCCAGACGACTGGATTGGCAAGGTCCATACCTTTCTTAATTCGAAGACTGACAGGTATTCTGATATCACTGTACTGACAGAAAATTATCCTCTGCTTTAGCGAGGTTTTGTTGTCATGACGGTAGTTTTTTTTACCAGTTGGTTAGGTGTGTGCCTTCTTGGAGTCACCATTGAACAGTGTGATACAGATACTTTTACAAAGCATTGTGCCTCCTGGCTAAGAACTATTCTTCAAATAATTCAGGTAAAGAAATGTCTTGGTAATGCAATGCTTTAATCACCCTGCCAGAAAAGCCGTTTTTTCACTTGCTTGATTTTGGCATACTCAAGAAAGACTCAGCAAGAATCAAGTAAGATCTTCGTTTAGCATGTGCTGCATGTTACCAGGTTAAAGCTTCAAACCCAGGACTAATAGCTGTGTGCTTGCTTCAGTGAGCTGGGTTACGGCCATCAATTTATTGATGAATGTAAGCCTGCACTAAAAAAAGAAAAAAAAAGTTTGATGAGAGAGAACAAGATTGCTTGGTCTAGAAGTTTGGGCAGTGGTGTCCTCAAAGGTTTCACGTGATTCAGGCAGAGCCTCTTTCTCCTCCCCACTCAAGAAGACAAAAGGAGAGTCTGTTCACAGGGTGTTCATTAAACAGCGATTTCTAATTCTGCTGAGGACCACTCGGAGAACTTTGGGAGGGATGTAGGGTTAGGGGTAGGGTCTTCTTGCACATTTCAGGTAAAAATAAACAAGGACCCTTGCATTTAGGTGGCTGGAGGTGCCATAGCCCAAATAACTTTTAGAAAACCAAAGGAGGTAAACAAAGGAAGGAGGAATTATTTATAGGGTATGCCACTGACCAAAGATATTCCCAGAGTATGCCACTTAGGGTGGAATCTTTATTATCAAACTTGTTGCTTTCCTACACACACTCTGGAAACAAGATAGTCATATCTGGAGTAATGCCCCAGGATTCTCGTGGTTACCCCTCTGAAGGTCCGGAGGGAGAAGCTACTAACTGTTGTATCAGTATACTTTTTATTTTTTCGGAAGTTTTTAGAAACAGACCCTTTGTCTCCTGTATGGATGGGAACAGTTGTGACTGGGATGATGATAGTTATATGGCCCAAAAACTCTCCAAATTTTGGATCTTCTTAGCCTGGTATATTTTCAGTTGAATTGTGAAGACTGCTGTTAGCAACAATGTCTCTCTTTTTAATGTTTGCAGACTCAAGAAAGACCAAACATCACACAGTATTGCAGTATACTCATTGATAAAACTTTGCAATATGCAGTTGAGGTATTACAGAAACAGACATGAAAATGTTTATAATATATGCCCATGTGTGTTTTGGGGTGTTGGTCTTTACGACCAGGATTACTGTTAATTTTTTAAAGTTAGTTTTCTCTTCTTTTAACTCCTAAAAATGATCAGTGTCTAAGGTAAAAATAATAAAAAAATAACACTCCTTTATGAGCTAAAGGGCATGACTATAATAATTATTATAGTATAATCACCAAATGTAAAAGGTTGATTGCTAAAGAAATGCTACTTATGAGTACGTGTATGATAGGAAACGTATAGTGAACAGTTTGGAGAATAACCATGCTGATATCAGTGCCTAAAGGGCTTTAGTATTTGCTTGCAGTATGCCCTCAACTGACCACACATTCAGAGAAGGTCTGATGACATCCCCTTACAACTAACAGTCCGTCTGTCTTAGTTTTCAGAACTTTCAAGAGAGTTGGCAAACTCTGTGTTACCTACTATTATATCTACCATGTTGTCCAAAAAATGCTCGGTGAGTGTTATAGAGAGACACCTATAATGACTCTTGCACCAATATAGAATGCAGATAGTACTTTCATCATCAGCCGACTGAACAACAGTCAACTAGAAGGTCTCTCCAACTGGGTCCTAGGTAGTGTACATGAGGTCGTCCTCTGAGAAATACTTATTGGGGTTGATCCATTCCTGGGCTTGGTTGGAAAAGGACTTCTGTAGTCTCTGTGGTAGTCTTCTCCTATGAGATGGATCATACAACTCATAGATGTTGGTGGGTTCATCCTTCTTAGTACTAGACTTTTTTTTATTTCCAGTTATTGAATCAAAATGCTTCTTTACAGGATATTTCCTCTGTTTTGTCCATCCTTTCCTCCTGTGTGTGTCACTTTCCTGGACCAACTGGACCTTTCAGAGTGAGTATCTTTTTTATGGCTGGATTTACAAACAAAAGAGTAAAGCATGAGGCATAAGGAGTGTCAACCCACCGCCCCCCTCTCTCCACTTTCCCTTTCTGCAATAACAATGTAGGTTAGTTAATATTATCACAAAGCTCTAATGTCTTCATAAGTCATCTTTATTTTAACACGAGACATCATTGACCCTTAAAAGAAGGCTCGTTACAAAATGCACAAACCACACAGCCTGACCATTCATGTCAAAATAGTACAACAGGGCAAAAAACAAGGAAAAGGTCCCTAGATTACGTGCCATGACAAAACTGACAAACTAAACAGACAACAACTAACTAATGTACTGAAAACTCGTGGCCAACAAAAGCTGCACAACAATGAAATAGGCAATCACTTTAATCTACCCAACTTTAAAGATGGGTGGGCAGGAGGTCAGACAATGATGAATGACAACAAGAAAATTGGTACATTACAACCAACAGATCATCACATGTTTCTTGACAACTGCCCACTTACCCCTCTTCCCCCAAGCCAACATTTTGCCTTAAGTGAGAAGGAAGTGTTAATAATGGCTTAGGGTAGGGGAGGGCTAAGACCCAGACTCCCTTTTTTGTTCCTGAGCCAGTGGAAAACAACACTTGTGTCGTGTCCAGTAATTGCATGAGTGGAGTGCCTGTAAACTAGCTTAAGGTATCATCCAGGTTAAAAAAAATCATCATTTTTCAAATTTGCAATTTTTAGATGATTGAATGGAGCTCATCAAGAGCTTTCTTTTAAAAAAATTCCAGGAAAAAAGTGCACTTTCACTACAGTACAAAACGATCCTTTCACCTTTTTAACCTTAACATTTTGCTTTCATTTTAGAATCAGATTGAGAATTTCCTGTTACCTCTCTTAAATTCAACCTGTGAAAACACAAGAAAGGTAAACAACAAGTAATTAATGATTCTAAATCATACTTAGAGCTTGTAGATTGAAGGCATTGGTAATTGGTTTTTTCTCTATTCACTGCTTGCAGGATAGCTGTCATTGTTATGCCGTGTTGCCAAGGTGCAGTCAAAGTAGTTCCAGTGGAAAAAGGCAGCTTTGTCCTTGGGGAACACAGTGGAATAAGATTGTTTCTACAATTCACAAGTTACTAGATGCTGCCTATGAAAATGTTGAACCTGGTTTGTGATAGACTATCATCCATAGTCTGTTAATTTGATTGAGTTTTAGGTTAGGTAACAGTGATAAAATTAATTCCATACCTGTCCTTTCTTCTCCAGTCTCATCTGATTCCTCCCAGGAATCTACTCAAGAGTCTGAAACATTACTCCTCGGTGAAATTCCACAGGTTGAACCTGGCCGGACATACACCCTTGTCACCCGATGTATGACACTCCTGCAATGTCTGTCTGTAATGATCAGGTACTTTTCTTTTATTCTATTTCATTTTCATATCTGTCTGTAATGACCAGGTATTTCTACTACATGCATAGAGGTATCATCAGAGACCCAATGAGTACTTTTTGAATATACATGATGTATGGTGATTAGAAGTCATTTTTGTGATTCTGCTTTAGTTTAGCCACCGACCCACTTATAAAGAATGCTCTGGGCTTTGCTTAAAAATATATGTCTATGGATAGTGGCTTTTATTGCCTTCAGGACGCTTTGATTTCAAAATAATGCTCTTTCTTATGAAGGGTATACTAAAGCATGCTCTTGCTCATTAATTTTATCATTATTATTACTATTTTTATAATCATTATTATTATTAAAAATGTTTTTGATATTATTATTTCAGAGAGCAGTACTTTAAAGTTGTTACAGTTCCTGTTGAAGCTACCATTAACCTTGTGAACAGAATAATAGCAGTCACAACTAACTCTCTGGTAAGTTCAGTGGATTGCTGTATATACCTTATTAAAAAAATATAATGCTTTGGTGTTTGGTCATTGACAATTGGGCATTGGGCATTAGGGCCAAGAATGATTTGATTGAATTGATTGGTCACCAAACAATAGCTTCCCAGAGCATAATTCCCAAATCCCCTGGGCAAAGAAACCCTTATTGAATCAGCTATATGAAGTTCATTGCTTAGAATACTGTGGTATGTTACTGATACGATTTGAATTATGTTACAGATGAAAAAAATTATCATTAATCATTGTACTCTGCATAGATATGTTGCAGTTGATTTTTTTGTTAATTTACTTCTTCCCCTTTCATTGAAATTCATTAGCACACATTATCATATCCAAAAACAAAGGGAAAAAATTGAAGGAAATACTACCGAAAATATGAACTGCAACAGGTACAATTAAATAACTTATGCTAAGTTTTTTTCCATGAATATTTACCCTTTCATTTGCAGAAAAATGCGGTAATTGTAGAATCAGTACTGCTAAGAGCAAGTATACCTTTGATCCATACAAGTGCAGTAGATTTGCTAAGTAATATCATAACAAGGTATGTTATAATATGTCATTCCCTTGGTAGCATTTTCACTGTCTCTTTGCCTATAAGATGAAAAAGAAGATAACAAAGTTGGCTCCCAGTTTAGTGCAGCTGCCTAAATGTGCTCTCATTATTTCTCTATTTTTATTATATGGCTACAATAGTACACATGCTCTGATTGGCTGCTAAGCGGGCATTATTTTCTTGTAATGAAAGGGCATTACTAGCTAGGTGTCCAAGGCATATAAATCTGTGTTTAACTTGAAAGTGGACATCCTTATGGTATCTACTGACACATGTCACATGACTATATTGCAGGCTTAAGTGTACAACTCATTGAGGTGACATGTTTTTTAAAAGTTATCCGCTAACCAGTTAATGGTTTTGATTGATCGCAGGCCCAGGTCATCCATAATAAAAATGCCATATAATAAATTACTTCTTAACCTCATCCGTTGAGTCATTAGAGGGAAATCTCCGACCTCGGCTTTGATGTATTGACCTTGCTTTTGCTTGGTCAGTACACCAGGGCCTTGGTCTGAGATTTCCCTCTAATGACCTCACTCTCAGTTAATAAGTGGTATATAATGTTTAAGTCAAGTTTAAGCAATTTGTAGAGTTCATTTTTGAGAATATTTCTCTAGGTACTCCATTTTCCTGTCTCTTTCAAATTCCAGTTCAGTATGGAATACATGGACACTTGCAAACAAATTCTTGTTTTAAGGGTGAACAAATTGCATGTACAAAATGACATATTTTAGTTTTTTTTGCCATTAAAGTTTGTTCCCATTACTGTCTCCTATAGGTGTAGAGGACTAATTCTGCCTCACTGTGATTCAGTAGTGAGAATGCTGATTCAAGAGCTCACTTGGACAAAGCAGCAAAATCCCTCACATGGTCAAGACAAATCTTATAGGTCAGGTGACACTTTAGTGGACATAACATAATGTTTGTAGTGACTTAGAAGTGCATATGGAATTGTTGGGCCCAGTTTCTCTGACATTGGCTGTCTTTTTATACCCTTGATAGGAAACTAAGGTGTAGTGTGTATCTGTGCATTGAACGCTTGGTTCAACTGACAAGGGGCCTACCTGAGGGGGGTGGTGTGGTGGCTAAACTGGTACAGCAGATGTTGGATGACATAAAACCTATGGCTTCTCAAACTAAGGTAATGATATGGAAGGTGTTAAAGGGTCTGTGAATCTTTCAAATGTTGTGATGTTCCAACTACTAATGTCAGAAACATGGTTAGGAACTGTGGATTTTCAAACATTTTAGCGCTAACAACACAAGTCACATTTTGTTTGAGCTTGTTCCACGGTAAGATTATGTAACATAAAAGTTTATTTTTACAATTGTCTGTACATGTCTAGGTAGCATTAAAAAAAGTAATTTATTTTGCTCTGCTTTATTTAGTTATTGCCGACTACAAGCACTGGACATCAACAGATGTCAAAAAAGGTACCTATTTTCAACTGAAACCCTTTCATGGCCAAACTTAATAGGCCATTTTCACAATGACCTTATCTTACTACAGCCACCAACCTGTTTTCGTTCTTCTAATGATACTTGTAGTAATCTCCATGAGGTTTCAATAACAAAATCAGTGTTTTGAACAACAGAGTAACAGCCTGTTCAAAGGAGTCTGATAGTTGCAGAGACATGTTGCCATTATTGTGCAAATGACCTCTTATGGGGGACAAAATACTACAGTGAACACTCAAATGATAAAAAACACCCAAAATTAATCATCCATTGTACACTTTTCTTTCTCTGCAGGCAAAGAAAAGAAAACTGCAAGATGATGTTGATCAGCTACTAACAGGTACTTATGTCTGTTGATTTCTTAAGACATTGTTGCTTTTGCCCCTGTTGTTTTCTGTGATTTTATTATTAGGACTGCTTTATATCATTAGTATCTACAAACATACATACCTTATTTGAATAGTTAGTTCTATCTCTCTTTTTTGCACAGGTCAACAGAAATTTGATACAAAGGCAAATGAGATGGTCACTTACAGAGCTCTTAGAGGTAAAGTTAATCACAATCATGCTTCAGCTTCTAGTTAAAATATATTTGTTTTCCATTTTGCCCCATATGCTATAAGGGAATCTAAGACAGTCTAAGCTGTGGATCCAGATTCCAGATACTGGATTCGGAATTCTTTGTCAGTGGAGCTTGGATACCAGATTCCAACCATCAGTGTGTGTTTCCAAATTCCTTGAGCTGTATCCCGGATTCCTTTGCATGGGGCGATTCCACTGCATCAATAGACTTTGTCCTTCCAAAGTGTAGGAGGGATGTAATGAGCGCACTATTTCAAGATCAGTCTCTGCCTGCATGTATTTGATGATTTATTGTAATCACTGCAAACTATGTTCATATGTTCCATTAACTATTGTTATCTTTTTAACAGCTTTATCTGCAGTTCTTATTGCTTCTGGAAATGATATTCCCCAAGGTACATTTAGGGTACGTTTTGAGAGAAGAATACCTCACTTGTGCTTGAACTGTCGCATACTCTTTCTATCTTCTATGCATTCTCATGGGGCTTATTATTATTTGTTTTTAGGAAATTCAAGTATACATAATAAGGCTCATTATTCAGTGTCAGCAGTCGCCATATGACTCCTTCCCAATACCATTCAGCAGTCCTGACTGTCGGCAGGCTTTGTACCACATTCTTCAGTGTTGCCTTCTTGTAAACTCACCTAACGTTCCGTCACCTGTCAATCATGCTGTTAGATTGTTTAGTGAGGGACTTCAAGATGCTGATCTCAAGGTACTTTGCTATGTTTTAACCCCTTAGCTAACAGATGATAGCATGATATCCAAAGTGGGAAAAGCGTAATTGCTTTTCAACTGCAGGGCTGTCACTAAGATTGCAAGTTGTGGAGTATATGAAATTTATAGGCTGGGATTGAACGCCTAGGAATTTCTTTTGGTTCTATTTTCTACTTGTTTCTTATGAAAGTAGCCGGTGATCAAGCTTAACCCTTTATGAAGCCCTATATCCAAATACAAACTCTCCAGACTGATCTACATGCATTTCCTTGAAGAACTGGTCAAGAGAATTTGTTTGTATATCAAAGCTTTTCTTATCAAGTGATTATCTTATTAATTCTCACAACATTTTCCCTTGATTATGTACTGATTTTGTGTGGAGAAAATTGACTTTGGTCAGTGACTCTTGTGTCTGAAAGGGTTAAAGTAGCGGGGGGAAGCCCCAACCCCCAGCTCTTAATTGACAGCTCTGAAAGTGCCCAACATAAACTACAAAGAAGGTGCTATCAAAATGCTACTTTTCACTGGGGGGATCAGGCAATTAAACTAAACAAAGCCACAAAAGATCCTTCATAAAAGAATACATTAATGAAAATGCTTCTTGGCTAATAAGCACCTACAGGCCTGGGAATTCTCGGGTAAATAGATGAGTTGTTTTTATCAAACTAAATTGCAGATCTCTGTGGATAAAAAAAGGTACATCTGCCTCTTTCCAGCTGGCTGAGCAATATTATTTCAGTTCTTTTTGTTTTCAGGTATCAAGTTTTTGTCAGGAGGCCTTAGCTGTAGCTAACTCCATCATCCATCCAAGGTCCTTTCCACAAGTGTGCTCTGCTGCTGGGCCACTGTCACTAAGTACCTCTGAACACCATCCCAGTAATGGCCCCTTGTCCACTGACTTTGATCAAAGTTCATCCGTGTCAGTTACGTCAAGATCACTTGTTCAAACAGGAAGTGGAAATTCTTTACCTCAGCAAAGCATTTTGAGCAGAGGATCATTTGAAAACAGCAATGGTGTTGGATATTCAGAAATAGGACAAAACTCCTTGAGATACACAGAAAAGGGTCAGGCTACAGAAAGCAGTGATGTCAATTCATCTTTAACTAGTGTCAGGAATATATCTGAGGAATATGAACATCATACATTTCAAAAAAGTTCTGTTAACCAAAATGAAACATCAAACAGCCAGGTTGACCACTGCATACTAACGGACAATGCTAGCCAATTAGCAAGAATACAGGCTTCCACATCAAGTTCTGACAGCTCAATGCCACAATTGCTTAACCAGGAAGGATTCATTGATGCAAATAAGAGTAAAACAGTGTCGGAAAATACTGCCCATGAAAGAGAACAAAGAGATGTTACTACATCTTTCTTTCAGTCAGCAGTATTGCATGATACACATAACACTTTTGGATCATCTGAACCAAAGAGAAGAAGAGCTGATGACAGTTGTATTGGTTCTGATCAGATGTTGAATGACAAACAGCGTGAAGGTACAACAACAAGCGAAGAACAATGGATTGGCCACACTAGAGACAAAGAACGCGAAGAGAGAGAAGCAGCAGCGACAAATGAAGTAAGTAAAATTTTTTGTATTTTTTTTAATGTTTCTTATCATTAACTGTAAAGTGAAAGGAGTTTGTTGGTGTGACAATGAACCACATCTGAACCACAAAACAATAGCTCATCAACAATTTCTTCCAGTCATCTACAGTTTGGTAAAAGTTAGAAATTCCTAGGTACAGCCAACTCTCTCTTAACGGACACCTCACTATAAAACAGACACCTAGAGTTGGTCCCTGCCTTTTCTAACACTGTTTAGTTTCCTCTCTAAAAGATGGACACCTGTCTAAGATGGACACATAGTGCTGACCCCCGCCAGGTGTCTGTCTTAGAAAGAGTTGACTGTATTTGATATGTTGTTTTACTTTATCTGACCAGGGGTTTCATTTCAGGCCAGACGCCGGATGCAACGTCCAGTAGTTTGACATGTAACGTCTGGTAGTTCACACACAAAATAATAATTATTTTTTTAGGTGTGAAAATCGTTTTTAACTCGTGGGGATTGCAGGGACTAGGATATGCAAATTAGTCACTCGCTCAGGCATGCCCCCGCACCCCCCTAGGAGTTCGGCACTCAATGTTCACACCAGCGGCACGAATGGTGCATGTCTGCCAGCTGAACCACTGTATCTGGTACTTCCAAATGCTACCAAAAACCCTGTCTGACCCTAATTTTTTGGCTTTTCCAGGATAATGCTGAGACTTTTGAGATGTTAGCGTCGTTTGTTGACTCCTATCCAGACTCGGATTAGTGAGAATTTGAATATGCAAGACAAGTGCCTTTCTTCATTCCTTTCTGCCTCTGTAAGCAATTTTTTTTAAGTTAAATACTTTTTTGACCTTTTTGAGACTAGTCAGTAGTAATAGCCAAAGGTTTCAAGGTGCGGGCAACAACGATCGATGGTCAAAACACTTTTGCTCCTATGCTGAGCTTTGCGCAAGGTTCATGTGATAGATGGTCAAAACACGTGTGATCAGATTACAAGTGATCATGGTACAAATGTGAGTGATCAAATCATGTTCTATGCATTCCATTCTTTGTAAGTGGAAGAGTGGAACTTCAAACAAATGCTCGCTACATACATGCGATGCATGTGTAATTACAACATTGAGATTGGGAACTGGAAATACAATGATATATTATAATAAACCTTATACACTGTCAAGAGAGTCCTTATTGTAGCTTAAATGGTTGACAGTTAATTATCATGTCAGCTCAGAGACAATGGGATACACAATCATTGCTAAAATACGAACTAATTATTTATACTGTATTGTACAATAAACCGCACTCAATCAGTATGCTAACAATGTTTTGTTTTTATTTTGCATATTTATTTACACTGCATGTGCATTCTTTTAATTACTAAAAAAATAATAAGAAAAATCCCCAAAATTATTTTACTTAATTTGTAAGCATTGGTATTTACAATAATTCACAGCATAACAGTTATTTTTCTCCTCTTCTAAAACTTCCTTGCACAAGAACAATCACAACTGGAAAGTGTTTCCCTTTAAAATTCTTTAAACTCACATAAACACAGATTTAGCTAGGGTTTTCTGTTATTTTGTGAAAATCAAGCCAATGCTAAGAAAAATAATTTCATAACTACCCCTAGCATAAATATTTATAGTTTAATTTGCATTATTAGAACAAGCTTCACTTCGCAACATGTAACCATCAACAGTTCCTTTCTTTCTGTCTACTTGTACATTTTTCTGATTTGCTAAATCAAACTCGTTTTGTAATTTCAATGCAAATTGAAAGTCTCTGTCTTCTTGCTCCTTTCTTTCATTAATGAGATCAGAGATGTTGTGTGATAAATAATTAAGTCCAGATGCATCTGAGTCTGTTGTTCTCCAATGATTCTTATTGTTTACAAGGTCACATCTGCTCTTTTCTAAACCTATAGAAAATGGGAGTAACCATTATAAGTAACCACAAAACCACAAGACTAGTCTAACAGATTATTATTTTTTAAATGACTTAGCACTAAAAGTTTTAGTTGAACTGCAGGAAACAAAATAAAATAGTAATATGTATAAAGACATTTTATCACATCTTCGCAGATTGATTCAAAAAGTGAACTTGTTTATTGCAGTTGCTATAAGTATGGTTGAGTACATAGCTATAATGGTCTTTCAAATTGTTAAATCTTTCTCCTGTGGTTCAAATATAAGAAATTTAAAATACACACTAATCTAATCTATGACAATCTTACGTCAGTGGTAGGTCTGATTTTTAAGACTGATTTGTTTTGTAGGTTAAGAGCAAGAACAGCGGCCATAACTTCTCTAATTCAGCTTAAGTTCAATGCAAACATCATAAATTGTAAAACAGGAATGTGCATTACCTTGATTGTTTGGTTGTCTGGTAGGAGAAAACCATCTATCCAGTGTGTTGCAGCCATGATGGTCTTGCGTTCTCTGTGATTTAATCTTCTTTCCTTTCCCTTGTTTTGAATTTGCACCAGTTGACAAAGTTTTTGATGAGCTTGGCTGCGAAAGTATCTCTTTTCCTTGTGAATTCTAAAAAATATAGGAAATATTGATGATAATAATAATAATAATAATAATAATAATAATAATAATAATAATAATAATAACAATCTTCATACAGGGAGCTCACTTCACAAAGAGTGATATTCAGTGAGGCCTTGTAAAATAATAGAAAGATAAATGATCTCAGATAAATAAATACATAATAGAAGTAGAGAACTAAAAACTTAACTAATATAAGCTACAGCCATGTTAAAAATGTTAAAATGTCAGATAAATATAAATATAGCCACGGTATGCTTTGCAAAGTATACAAATTCTAATTTACTTATTCTGTCCCTTGTATTTTGACGAACGGAATGGTAACTATGAGATTATAAGGCAGCCTTCTTGTTCCTGTGTCATACACACTCTAACTGACAAAAGTAAAACTAAACCTCTGCCAACAAAAAATGGGTATACAATTATTAACAGTTAAAGAGCAGCATATAAAGAGTAACCCTTCTGCCATTTTTTGTATACTTTCACCATAATTTTAGCTCATTCTGATTTAAACTTAGGGTGGCTGAATGCCCCTGACAACAGTGCCAGTAACTCTACTGTTCTCTTATCCTATGGCATTCAATTTAATTACCTGTTCTTTCTCTTCTAACAATATCTGTCTGGCAAGTTCTTCATCTTGTAATGCCTGGTGCTCTATTGACCTTGCAAGTTTTTGTTCCTCCTCTAGTAGTTTACGCACAACTTCTTCACTTGCCTGCATCTCTTGTTCCCTTGCTTGTTGTAACTGACAAGAGAAAAAATTACACTCATTAATTTAGTTAAACTCAGCTTGACTAAATTTTCCTCTTCTTGCCCCATCTGATTTTGAGGTTCTCTTTGTAAAGCACCTTTTGGTGACTGCAGCTTCCTCTTTAAAATAACGTTACTATTATTACTCAGGGATATTCATAAAACTTGAGATACAGGCAGGTGGTTTGAGAGTAGAGTAAACCAATAGATCGTTTTCACTGTCATGCAACGAAAAAATAAATTGGAAACCGTCCAGTGGAAGAAGTCAAGAAAATGAAATGTTATAAAAGACTATTATATAAACAATTTGTCCAAGTCTAAGGTCTTTATGGCCCACAGTTTCGGAATTATTTGCCGAAACGTTTCACGCACCTGTGGAGAACTTAGTATGGAGACACCATATTGGTGCACCGTTTTGGTGCACCAATATGGCCGCCGGAAATCAACAAAAAAATCTGGAGTTCCTTTTTTTCTATAAAAGCTCTTTCTTTTTACTCAAGAACTAGCATACGTTCACATAAACATACCCTCTAATACTTGAAATGGTTATACTGCTGAAAATCAAGAGGACAGTATTCCTATTTTGATGTCACGCACTGTGGAAACTCGAAAGTTCAAATTGCTGTATTTTCGAAATGAAACATGCTACAGGACTGGAAACTTGTACAAAGATTTATTTTTTGTTTATCTTCAACCTAGTGTAAATAGGAATTCGTAAAACCTCGCCATTTTGACTTTACAATTTGATGATGTCACATTGAAAACCATCTATATTTTACAGTTGCACCTTCACTAACAGCCACCTCTCTACAACAGCCATTTTTTTTGCCGAAAGTCCGTGCATTCACTTTTGTTTCAACCTCTCTACAACGGCCACCTCTCTACAGTGGCCACTTTTTTCTGTGCCAAAGGTAGCCGTTGTAGAGAGGTTTAACTGTATCAGTAAGGTTAAGGACAGGTTTTCATTCACTGATAACTTTAGTTTAAGGGGGGAAAGTAGCCCACTCCTCCAAGTGAAGAAGCCAATAGTACTTTTGGTCAGCCATTAGAGCTTACTGAGAGCACTGGTTTCTGTATTATAAAAGTACAGTTTACCTTTCTCATTTCTTCTTCATACTCTTTGCGAACCTCCCCATCCTGTGATATTGCTCTTTTGAGGGGTGGAGTATCTGTGGTTTCAAGAAAACTCATGTTTCAATTAACTGTTTAACACATAACCAGCCTGTTACTTAAGACATCATTAGCATTGGGTCTGCTAATCAAGAGTTACCAGCAAATTTGTTTTGTTTTCCTTTAAGCTAAGTACATAAAGTGCTTTCTTTCCGAACCCTCAACCGAAAACTTTTGGAAACTGAAAAAAAAAACAACAAACAAACAAAGAGAAATTAGGCCTAGGATAGCATGATTCAGCTAGTTTTAACCTTTTTTGCCAAGCAATGGGAAGTGAAATGCACTGTGGGCAAAGCCTAATTTTTCTCACTGGCGAGTTATTTTAGTGCAAGTTTCCTTTGAAAAAAGCTAAGGATACACAAGTTAAACTTTTATTTGTAATACACTAATTTCTTACTGTTTTGGGATAATTTCCAGAACAATAATAATCACCTCGCCGTATAGAGGGGAAAAAATTGCAAGCAAGGCGCTCTGTATGAATACAGTAACAGAGAAAAATTCGCCGTTTACATGCAAATTTTTTTCTCTGTTGTTAACGTAAGATCAAGTAAATTTACTGATTATGAAACAAAAAGTAAGACTTGTATTTCACATTCAACTCACCAAACAGATCTTCATCATCCTCTCCACGCAATCGTTTCTGACATTTCTTAGGAAAAAGTTTTTGAATCTGTTTCCATCGATTTAAATCGACCAAAGTTCCATTTCGGGAATTTCGTCTGGCCCAACTTGATATTCTCATTCGGCAAAGTGGACAGAGAAAATTTGCTTCCTGCACATTTTGTTTAAAGCATGGTCCACAAAGTTCATGTTCACACGGCATAACCACCGGCTCAATTAGGATTTGCAAGCAGATAGGGCACGTAAAGTCTGCAGATGAGATGGAGTTTACATTTGCCTCGCTAAATTGTTCTGTTTCAAGCATATTAAAGCTAGTGACTCTCTTCGAAGTCGATGTTTCTTCGTCCTCTTCAGTCGCCATCTTGGATCTTTTACGATGTTTTTGCTATGGAATGCTGGGAGAATAAATTTCGCGCCAAAAATTATCCAGGCGGACGAATCGGATGTCTGCGGGCGCAACCGACGCTTCGCCGAAGGGTAGCCTGCGTAGCAAGCGCTTCCGCGCGAGTTCGTCGAGAACGTCGGGACGAGAGCAAAAAAAAAAAGGATTGACGGGGGAGGGGGAGGGGAAAGAAGGAACCGCTTGCCCGCAAACCCCACGATTTTGAAAAACTGCGTTCGCCCACGAACGCAGCTTCTGATTGGTGCGGTCCTGTTAGTGTTGATTACTTAGCACTCGAAACATCAATCAACCAAGGTATGCTTTGTTTACGAGCGTCACAGATCTGGTCTCATCTGATTTGCGGTCGCAGATTACAAATGCTTTGGACTGATATTTATTTGAATCGTTGGTTTGTACAAAGGTTTATGAGATCAGAGTCTTCAACGTATATTTGGAGATCGAGCAGTGGAGACTAAGGAAGGCCAATTTAATGAGAATGACAGCGTGCGGATCTGACTGGAAAAAAGCAAATGGACTGTTTGTTGGAGATAACATCAACGTAAATCAGAACATCAGTACTCAACACTGGCTAAAGCCGCCATAGACAAGCGATTTGTTAGCTTTCTGAAATGAAAAGATTCTTTTTGTTTATTGGAAATTTAGCGGCGTGTATTATAGAGAACGTTTCGACACGGGCTGAAGAGCAGCTGCTCTGCAAAACTTATAGCCCGCGGAGTGAATTGTTCCGGACAAATCATTGTTGACGTTTAGACAAGGTTTCACGACGAGATAAAGCCGCACAATAAACCGCTTAGAGTTTTAACCTTCTTTTATCGTAAACCTTTTTTATTACAGTTTTCGCAATCGCCTGGAACGTGTTCTATTACAGAACAAAGTAATTTTACAAGTCTGGCAATCCAGGGGTAATCTGTTCGTTATACTTCTATTTTGACGAGCTGTCAATTTACAAACGAGCCGAACCGTGAAATATCAAGGGGCGTTTTTCAGAATCGTGGGGTTTGCGGGCAAGCGTTTCCTCTTCTCCCCCCCCCCCCCCCCCCTCTTCCACCTTTTTTTTTTCTCGCTTCCGCTCTTACTTTCGCGCAATAACTCGATTGGAAACGCTTGCTACGCAGGCTACCGAAGGGAAACCAGATTCTCTGATTGGAAAATCCTTGGCATTTGTCAAACAACAGTAAATATGGTCTGTCAACAATATTGAGCGGTTATCTTTCCCGTTGCGAAAAGTTGCGAACCCTTGTGTTCTGTGATTAGAAAGGAGGTTTACGGAGTTTTAAGGGTACTCAAGGACCTCCCCAGGGACCCCCTGTACATCCTAAAACACCAAGCGGTTGCAAATGGCGGGAAATTTTGGCGCGAAATGGTGTATGGCGGGAAAAGCAGCGCGCGTCTTTCCAGGTATAAAACTGAATACCATCGTTTTTACGGTCATTCTTGTCTTTCCTTTCAAACAAGTTACAAAGTTCGGTTGCTGATTAAAGGGTTTTTTTTTTCAAATAATACTTGGCTATTTTGAAGCAATAATGCCGGCCGCAGAAGCTGAGACAAATTGTGCTACTCCTGTCATTAAAAAAGATGTTGAGAAGTTTCCTGAGAAGACCAAGTCAAGTTCCAAAGAAGACGAAGCTGTTTGCAAAGAAGTGATGACAGCAGAAGAAGAAACAAAGAAGACTGAGGAGTCGGAAAAGATGGAAAAAGAGAATTTCCCGGAGAAAGAGAGCAAAGATGAGTCAAATACGATGCCAGGAAACGAAGAGAAAACTGAATGTGAATGTGAAGGACCAGCGGAGAATGCTCAAGGCGAATCCACGGAGATGACGGAACATTCCAAGCGAAGGTCCACGGAAGGTGATGAAGGTAGCGAAACCAAGGAAGAAGAAAGCCCTCCGAAAAAGAGAAAATCTACTTAAGAGAGGATGAAGACCGTCTACTTTGGTATTGTACCACTAAATTTAAACTTTATGTACCCTCATTTGGCATTCTGTAAGACTTAAAGAAAGATAAAGCTAACTGATTAACTTAATGTATATCGGCTTAAGAATGACTGTAAGGAAGGTTTATATTTTGGGAATTCAGGAGAATTTAATCTATTTAGACTCCGCATGATTATTAACCATTATTTTGACAGAAAAGCTGAGCTTAAAAGGTTTTTGAACTGCGACTTCGGAAAATGAAATTTCACCATCCGCGTGAGTAAAACTTTTTTTGACGAAATCAGTTTTTACTGTAATTAAGCTTACTCTACTAGGCTTAGTTTAAACGAACTTGATGGAAGAGTCAGTTTGAAGTATAAGCTTACCTTGTTCAATTGAACTTGTTATACGTGACGAAAACCATGAATAGTGACGGTATCTTTAACTCCTCCTTTTTCCAAATATGTTTTAAAGAGATGTTTGTAATATTTGCGCCAGAGGTGAGCCATTAATAAAAATTGTCTACTTACTATACTCTCTCGTTTGGCCATCTGAAGCTTGAAATAATTTAAATTTTACTCTCTGGCGTTCTTCCAAGCACTTATACCAGACAAGACCACAGTTTTTGGAGTTTTTGAGATACAGTCAGAAACAGAACTATTTAAGCCCAAGACTGTAGAGCTCCTTATCTTTAATATTTTCGGCTAAGGGGACTCGAAATACGACCTAGTCAGAGAGCTGGTAGATAAGGTTAATATGCAAAAAGGAATCCTTTCGTTATCTGCCATAATCTCTAGTTATCATAAACATTTGTTTATTTGGAATCTTCAAACCTGATAACTGCGACGCTGACCTATTGTAAATTATCTTTAAATATGCTCTCTAACTCTCCGAGACTCCAAAAAACTCCATGGGAAGCCGGACCGCAAAATTTTTATTTTTAGCCTGAGGTGTATTCTTTTTTTAAAACCTCCATTGTTCAAGGGGAATAGGGAAACTCTTGTTTGAGTTCTTTTTGGAACTTTATGTCGGACTTGATACGTAATTGAAGTTTAATTTGCCTTCACACTCAAACGAAATTGGTCATAAAAACTCTTCATAATAGATTCAAGCAAAGAAATAAGAAGAAACCATTGTTCTAACAAGGATAACCTCGCGGAAGAGTGATGAATCAAATAATTGGAGTCCAAATGCAAAGTGGCGAGAAAGTTGACTTGGGGCAGGAAATAATTAGGAAACCAAACCCTTCACTGAATGTAAACCAATCGGGAATCTTAATCCGCCCCCGTTCATTGGCCCAACAGAGAAATTTTTGCTTAGATCTCGGCCTAACTGTTATTAGTCAAAGGGTACCGCTGGCAGCTGTTTGCCTCATAGAGTATTCATGATTGATTGTTTACATTGTTTGGTCAATTAGTATTGGACGAATACGGGAAGGGCTCATCGGTTACACCCTCGAGCACATCGTGGAACTGTCAAGCAGTAGTCAGGTTAGGAGGCTGCTGATGTGCCTACGAATGACCTCGGACATGACATAACTAAATCGGCTATCGCTTTGCAGATTATAAAATCCTCACGCAACGGAAAACTTGAACGGCATTTAAACAACAATCGGCTCGCTAACGAACCAGCTCTTCTGCAAATGGCTTCTGTTCGCGCACTTCACGTGGTTTGTTTGTTCACTTTCCTATTGAGTGCATGGCGGATAGACTGTCAGACGACTTGTTCAGAACACCTTGGAGCGAGAAAGCTGCCGAATTTTCAAACTCCCCTACAAGGTAAGCTGTCAGTAAGATTTTCTCTCTATATATTAAAGAGTAGAGAAATATCCTTTTTTATTGATGAAACGGTAAGATTCGTTTGCATGTTTTGCTCAACAGGGAAGGAGCCACAAGTTTGTGTCAGCAATATGACTTGCTGCACTGACCAAACAGAAGATACTCTTCGCGTTAAAGCCGCTAAAAAGATGAAAACTCTCATTGACACCAAATATACGGCTGCAAAAAGCTCGTTGTTGTCTCTTTTAGACGAACTCAAAGGTAAGTGTCTATCGACGGTGCGTTAAATATTTTGTAAGCCGATGAAAAGCACTTTCTTATTTGCTTTATACAAACAAATTCTGGACTCGACGAAATAAAGATCTCAGCTGCGAAAGGATTTTGCGGTTCAGAAATTTTTAATTGTGTCAGATAGTTTAGTTCAAGTTGTTGTATAATTCTTAGACAAAAACACTCGTGTTCTCTTGGGAAATTTTGAACAATGGACATCAATAGAGCCCGAGTTATTTCCTTTAGACGCCGTTATTAATTACAATCTTTTCATGTCATACTCGACTGGCGCAAACAACATCATGCAGCAATTGCTTATTGTACACCGTGTTAATTCACTTAAACGATTGAAGCTGAGGCGCGTCTTTAATATTTCTCTTATATCGATATCCCTGCGCTTTGAAACAATTGTTGATTTCTTTTTCGCTCTCTATGAATCAATACGGCCGTGTGAATAATGTAATATAAATGGGGTTATCGATATTCGCTCAGCAACCGCAGAT